AAAGAATAGTATATTTTATTAAAAAACGCTGAAAAACAGCTAATTTAAATGGAATGTGTATATAACACATTCAAAATAAAAGTATTTTCAAAATAAAAACAACAAAGTATATCTACTTACTGAAAAGTAAAACAGCGTCTTCTTCAGAAATTCCGCTGTGAACTAAAAGTTGTTTTAATTCTTCTTAATTCAAAATATTAAATGACATATTCTCCAGAAAAAAAAATTAAACGTAAAATAAAAACGAAGACATAATCTATTTAGATCACAGAACATAAGAATTTTATTTAGATTTATTATCGTTTGCATTTTAAAATAAAACGATAGAAATTCCAGCTTATAGCTCGCCCACAATTAAATAATAAATAAATCACTCAAGTTTGAGATAAAAGCACTCAAATATTGCTTAATAAATACCACTCAAGTTTGAGTAAACGCGAAGCAAGAATTTCGCTCAAATAAGAATGTATTTCACTCGAGTTGAGTTAAAAAAATTTAACTCTTTTTTGAGTAGGGGAAATAACTCTTTCATTTTAAGAGAGTACAGTCAATAAAACTGAAGGAAAAAAAATAATTCCATTCATTTATAATTGTTACTTTTTCAGTTTAGTTCATGTTTATAGTTTTTTTAAAATATATTATGGTTTTTAATTGTAATAATTGTATTCTTAGAAAGCGGTAATTCAAGCATCAAACTCACAACTCACAAGTTTTAAAGACACTTAAATTCACTGCTATGAAAGAATATAAATCATTTTTGAGTATCATTAAACTTTTTGCTAACTGTATTTTGTTATTCTTTTATATTTTATGAAATAAATATTTAATAAATTATTTAAACTTACTGTTTTGTATTTTATGTTTTTTATACCACCTTTTTAATTTTTGCCAAAAAGAGTTTTTCTTTTCTTAAGGATTTGGTGGGGTAAATATTGCAGATCGTCTTTGATTTTGAGAAATTCACATCTATTTGTATGTAATGTCACTTTTTGGAGGATAAGTGCTCTTTTAATGAGTGATCAATTACTTTGTGTTTGACTGCTTCCTCATTAACTATTAAGACATAAATACTTTCAGTAGACGCTTGTATCAATAGTCATTCATTAAAAAAATGCTATATGTAATGGAAAGATGCTATTTTTTTTATTTTTTTTAGAGTTTTCCAGTCAAAATCTGCAAATCGAAGTCATCAATCAATCGTGAAATGTTTGTGCTATCATTGTTCCATAGAAGCATATATTTCTCGGAATACACATAAATGAGTTCCAAAATAATCAACATACGAATTGTAAACCTTAAAAGAGCAAGAAACTGAACCTTAAAAGAGCAAGAACTGAACTATTATGTTATGACTTCAAAACTATGCAACTATAAAATAGGTTCGAAACGAATCCTTATAATGAATAAATGAATGAATATTTGGACAAATGAATAGATGTATCAAAATCAACGTAGAGGGAAAATGAAGCATGTCAACGAATCAGTAACTAGACGAATCAGTAAATCTATATATTAGTGAATTGGATTATTATCGAGAGAGAAAATCAGCGGCATGTGAATCAGTTTATAAGAAGTATGTGAATCAGTAAAATGGCTGATTTTTAATGCTTGTACAGTCAACGATAATAATTTCATTCTATTATAATGGTTACTTCTTCTGTTTAGTTTATGTTTATAGTATTTTTAAGATATATTATGGTTTTTAATTGTAATAATTGTATTCTTAGAAAGCGGTAATTCAAACATCAAACTCACAAATAGTTTAATTTTAAAGATACTTAAATGCACTGCTATGAAAGAATATAAATAATTTTTGAGTGTCATTAAACTTTTTGCTAACTGTATTTTGTTATTCTTTTAAATTTTATAAAATAAATATTTAACAAATTATTTAAACTTACTATTTTCCATCAACTTACAACTTTTTTAACAACTTTTACTGATCTGCAAAGACCCAACCTTATGATTCAAATTCCAAACACAAAATGAATTCAATAATGATTTTTACTTATTGTTTGCAACAATGAATACATTTACATAAAATAGTATTTGTTACTTGTGACTGTGATTGTTTAATTAAATCTGTTTGCTCTTTTGAAACAATGGTGTGCAAAGATTTTTAACAATTGAGCAGCAACTCAAGAATAGAGACTGAATTTATTGTATACAAAAAAAAATTGCAATATATTTGTAAATTCAAAATTTTATGTGGGTACCCTAGTCAATTCGTTATAAATTTGTATTTTTAGAATCAGCTTAAAAATGTATATTAAATAGGGTATTCAAATTTTCAGAACAATACTTTTGTCTCGCGTTGAATTTTACCAGTTCTTTATACTGTGTAGAAAATTTTATCTAAGTTCGGAGAAAAATGTCGAGTAATTGTATTATAAGCGCAGAATTAAAATAAAGCAGATATCACTTTATTAAACAACTATTTCATCTTAAGCAGAAATAGTTGTGACAGAAATATATAATGATTTGTAAGATTTGAAAAAAGGTAATCCTTCCTTTTACCTCCTAAATATTAATAAATTTTGATACTACTTTTCAGTTAAATCTCTGAGATTACATTGATATCAAATATTTATGATTTCCGAAAGCCTTTGAAATATTTGCCTTTCAACTTATTTTAATCTAAAGCTCTTAAAGTTAAATGGGGGTAACGGGTCTTTATTAAAATCCAAACCGTAGAAAATTATTAACGTTGGATTAGTTAGAGGCTTATACATCAAAAGGTTGAAATTACCAAAAATGCAGTTTTAAGCAAATAAGTCCTAAGTGAAGTTAAACCAACGTAAGGAAAGGCATTTGGCAGTTTTTTATACTGTTTCGAACCAAGTCATTCATTTTAAAATATGAGTGTCATGTCTTATGAAAACACTCATACGTGCAAGGAGTGTGTGATATAAAATTTTAAAAAAAAGTTATTTTACTTTGTCGAAACAATATTAAATTCTCAGCAATTATAGAGATAACATAGAGGAGTGCAATATTTTCAAAATAATATAGAATAATATTTTCAGAATATAACGGTATTTTCAGAATTTTTCTCCCTGCGCTATTTATTCGAATTAGCATTCATATTATCCTGCAATATTTTACAAAAACAGTCTGTCTGAAAAAATTTTAAAATTTGTAATTTGTTTTTTGTTAAAAAATTTGTTTCATAAATTATGTTTTAATTGTCTTACAAATTGTGTAATTGTGCTTTGCAAATCGAGCTTTAAAATTTGTCTTGTGCGAACAATGTTATATTCAGATTGCAGGTAACGCTAATATAATGGAAGTCATTTTGTGAATTTTTTTAAAATTTTTTTGCTTTGGTTTATTTATTTGAAACTGAAATATAATGTGTTTTAAATATGGACGCCTTTTTTATAAATACTCCCGTGAACGCCTTAAATTTGCTAATTTTAAATTCAGTGAAAAATTTTATTTTGCTTAAAAGACAATGAATTCGAAGTATGTATTAACAGTGATATTTTTAAAATGTTCTACAACTTAACATTTGTAAATATTAATGATCATTAAATTAATTAATTTAATGATCATTAATATGCATGTAATTATGTATTATTATTAATGTAGTTCTGATCATAATTACATTAATAATGTAATATTAATATTATTAATGATCTTCAGAGATAATGTTGAAAAAAATTCCAATTATTGCACTAATATACTGATTGTGTGTTATCCATATTTTTTTTACCCAGTTGGCATCAGTTAGAAATACGCAATTGGATAATAATTTGTTTAAAAAAAGTTCTTAAAATTAGGTTTTTATTATTTTAAATTAAATAATAATAAAGTGCTATAATATTTATTATTTCAGGAGCATACAAATAATATAGTGTTACATTTTGTCGTTTATACTTGGATTACACTTACATTTAAAATTTAACATTTTTTTTTTACTTTTTTAATATTTTTATACTTATTGTAAATATTAAGTATAGCTAAAGAATTAAAATAAAAAAAAATATAACCCAAATATAATGACTATACAATGAAGCGATTTTTTAAAAATGATTTTATATCCATTGGCAATTCGTCATGCTTACTGGTTTGAAAATTTCTCGAGTTTATGATAGAAATTAGATTTCAAAGATTGGAATTTATAACTTTAAAACTAAACCTAACAAGCACGCAATTTTTTTAACAAGAAATTTATTTGAAAAATCATTAAATTTTTTTTATCAAGATTGAAATTAAATATTTAATTTAAAAAAAAAAACAATTACAAAATTATGGTAAGAAATGGTTATTTACAAAAATTATGGCAAGAAATCTAATGAATTTCTAGTTTACAAGAAAGACAGTTTGAAAGTAGATTAACGAAGTAAAAAACAACTTTATTATAAGGTTCTTTACGCAAATTAATAAAATATTATCAATTTAAAAATGTATGACTTTAACGCATATTTTAAAACACATTAATCTTCAATCAGTACATTATACTCTGATGTAAATGTATTGTACTTAAATATATTATACTAAAATGTATTTAAAAATGGAATGCATTTTTAAATATTTAATTTCGTGAGTATATAGGAAAAATATATGAATAGTGCAAAGGAACTTTCCTTCAGTTGCCAAGAGTAGAAAATATTTGGAAAATTTTGTTTTTATCCTAAATTTAAGAAAGCAATTTGCATTCATTTAAATTATATTAAAATGATTATTATGATTATAAATAATTGAAGTTTTTTATAACTTAATTTAATGGATTGAAAAAAAATCAAACTAAATGATTCCTGAGCAAATTTCAATTAAAAAAGAGATAACTGTTGAAATTTGTGAGTGTTGAATCATTTATCAAAGTTAGTGATCATAAAAATTTCTAGGAATAAAAACACAATATTTAATTTATAGATAAGCTTAAAACCACCGTCGAAACTCGTTAATTTGAATTGTGATAATAATAACGGCATTTACATAATCAGAGGTAAAAATAAATTTGTATTTAAGAAATTATTAGCTGGTAAAACAGATAAGGAATTGATTACATTTCAGTTGAGCTTGCTGATAAAAAATCATATAAATTGCCGTTAGTCCAAGTCATTTTATTATGTTTAGTGTTTACTCGTTTCACTTACTACCATGAGAGGTAAATATTGTTTTCCTGAGTAGAAATTAGTGTATTTATTTTTATCTATATATTTCAAAAAAGTTTTTTTTTTCAATGTTTTTCATAAATGGCCTTAAGTTTTCCTCTCTAAAACAAATTATGCAATTTTAAATTTATTCATAAATTAAAAAACTGCATTTGTTTGGAATATTTTTTATTCATATATATTTATAAAGTTATACAGAATTGTTGTTTTACTTCTGTACAACCTACAATTTTACTTCATTTTAGAAGTAAAATTGCTTTTATTTCTAATATTAATTTTACTTTAATTTTTTTCCAGATTCAATTTGAATTCAGTTTTTCATTTCCTTCCAAATTTTATTTTGAATATGTTGACGAGAGTTGCTGCATTTGGGGGTAAAAAACTGCTCGTAACTGAACAGTTATCTTAAGAAATAGCACTAATTTATGTGACTGCTTCAACACTTTTCTCTATTTTTTTCTTCATATTTTTGTTTTAAAGACAATAATGAGGACAGTTACGAGTTTTGCACACGTAATTCTATGATACTATTTTATTTTCTGCCATTTTCATTATTTTGAGTAGAGGGAATGTTTTCCTTTAACTTTTAAAATTTTTTGCTTCATCTACTTGGCGATAAGTAACAGGGATTTTCGCAATGACCTAATGCGTACAGTTAAGTCTCATAAATTATTTATATCACTTACTTTTATATTCCCTTGACACATGTAATATTTTTTTTCGATTTAAATCGGAGATGAATTTCTGCAATAACCTATTACCTACAAAATATTTTTATTCTCACAATAGATTTTTACGGCTTGACATCTGATTTACAACTTTTGTCGTATTTTTGTAGTAGTTTTTTAGAAATAAATTTTCAAATATTTCCAATCGTATTTGCATATTTTTTTAATCCATTTCTTAGGTATAACTCTGCTATTAGTTTGCTTCATTGCATCGACTTTTGAGAAAACAGTGTTGGGAGTAACTTGCCCTGATGGATTACCATGCGAGGGAGGAGGTAATGCAGAATATTTAATTAATTATTCAGAGAAAAATTGAAACATCTAAAAAAATCGGTTAAACTTTGATCCATAATATCGGTTGTTGTTAAAATTTGTTGCAAACTTAATAAGGTGTTAAGTTATAAAATATTTAAAATATCATGTCAAACCAAGCTAATCAAATTTAAAATTGTAAGGATATGGTTCGATACAGTTTAGGGTTGCTGTAAACTTGAATGGTAATGAGGTTTGAAAGGTTTCAGAAATTTTAAATGTTTTAAATAGCACCATTATTTTTTAAGAAGCAGTTTATAAATTAATTAGATGTATTAACATTAATTATTCTTACATGTTAACCTTAAAAACCAGCTCTGTGCGAATTATTAAATAATACAAAATTAATTAGCACTCTGTTTGAAGGTTGCCTAGGGCTAAATATAAATATCGTTCTAATTTCAGCAACCTTTATTTGGTACCTTAAATTTCAAGCAAAGTGACTATTTTAAACTGTATCTATCATCTTGCTGTGAAGAACTATCTGGGTTAGAACTGACGAATAACTATATATAACAATAAATATTTTAAAAGTTATTATACTTTTACAAAAATCGACCATTTGGCGACATTTTTCCTCATAGAAGAAAATCATCAAATTTGCTTCCTTATTCTCCTATTTTGCTCTTCTTATTTATTTTATATTTTATACTTCTTATTTATTTTAAATTTTATACTTCTTATTTATTTTTTATTTTATAACCGTCATTAAACAGCCGACGCAATTTTTATGGGTTTACGACTACTAACGTACAACTGGTGGCCTTGTAATTTTGAACTCAATCCAGAAGACAAGGGAACTNTCTGGTGTTGTCGGCTGCTATGGTAACAAGTAAGGGCACATTTCTAATGGGGGAACAATGGAGAAATAAAGGTGTCAATTGGTTTACCCCCGCTGATCTAAAATCAAGACACTCCAACTCATGATCCATCTACCACTGAGGATATTTCACGTCAGCACTGTTGTAGGTGCTATCCGGATGAGGAATTCGTATCGACTGGGATTCGAACCCGGTTTGCCTCATTGGAAGGCAAACGCTTTATCTCGTAAGCCATTATGGCTCATGTTTTCGAATATTAAAAAAATAGACCACTTACGCTTTTCTTCTTTACAAAACTGTGCTTTGCAGTATGATCATTGACATCGCTGCCTTTAGATATGCTGAACTTGTCCTAACAGTCATAAGTAACTGAAGCAAACTCACAGCAGTCACGTAAATAGCACATTATTAGCAAAAATATGGCTTGAAGTACCATTATTATGAAGTAGTTTTGAACTGATTTTTCTGAGAAAGCGTGAATAATATATTGTGTATATATCAATGTCAATTAATGCAAATAACGAAGCTAATCTGATTAACTTTAGACGCATTCAAATTACTAATGGGAGAAAATAATTACAATGAATTTCGCATTATCCCTGAAGTTTTACTTATCTTTTATCATGCCTATTGAGCTAGTTCTTTTAATGGACATAAAAGCATATAATTTATTTTTTCATTTGTGCACTTAAAAATTCCGAAACAAGTTACGGTGAAATTTTAACGGAAAATACTGCGGGAAAAAAATTCTGATAATTTTTATAGCAATAATTACAGTAAGACAACTGACACACTCTAATTAAATAAATACTACTATAAGAATTACGGTGTAATAGTTTATGGTAAAAATTAATTTAACGGTAAAATGTATTTTATGGATGTCACACCCAAAGTGCTAGTACTTTATACCCGAACTTTTGCAGTGTAATACGCATTGCTGGTTAGATTATTTTATTTTATGCATCTCTCTAATGTTAGTTAACAAAAATATACTAAATACTTCTCAGCTTGCTGCCGTAAACTATTTCTTGGACGCTCACATGACTGCTGCAGATCTGGATATCAATGTGTTAGATCGTTTGGAATAGGTGCATGTGTTGTCTCTGGTCCTCCAAAAAAAGAAATAGGCATACCTAAAATCATTCCCGAAGAGCAAGATTATGAAAATCAGGAAAGAAATATTTTGAATAGCTTAAATTTGATTCAAAATCTTATCGACCAAATGGATGGTAAATATTTATTTATTCCAAAAATTTGATTATTTAATTTATAATACAATTATATATTTTAAAATATTGAAATTGGCATTCATAGGTGAATCTCAAAATATTCCGGAAGGACAAGATTATGAGCAACAGGAAAAAAATATGTTACAGTTCTTAAGTGCAATTGAAGAACTGGCTCATCAAAGTAATGGTAAATCTTTATTTTTATTTTAAATACAAATTTAATTTTAAAATGTAAGATTTAAACAAAATTTAATTTAATATGTTAGATGAATAACAACCATAGTTGAAAAACGTTCTAAATGAGAATATGACGCTTCAACCTAGAATGTTTGCACAACATTCAATTCCTTATTTAGTAATTCAAAGCACAAATTTGTGAATTTGGTATAGAAATAAACTCGACTTCCTTTTCTGAGAGAATCCATTATAAATTTAAAATAAGCATAGTTAATAACAATTTTAAGTCCTGAATCAATTAGTCAGATGGCAACTCGGATAATATGGATGACTTACTTGCCACAGATGTGTTTTATGCCAACCATGCGATGGCTGCTATGAAGCACCTCCAATAAAGCGATGCTTCTTAAAGCAACCTAGTGTATTTAGATTGGTAGATCACTGTAACAAAGTGATGTAATGAGCTGCCGCATGGCCTACAAGGTTTGAAGTCCCATTTCTGCTTCATTGACTTGAACTCTAAAAGTACACAACTCTTCCATGGTCATTGATATTAGACTCACACACCTCGCAATACCAATATTCAAAATACCGGAGTATAAACGTTTGTAATTTCCATCTCTCCCGCTAGATGGCATCCAGAGATTATCTAACAAGCCATAGTCAGTCTGCCGCTCATCTGTGACTTGATGAAACACTACTAATCTTCCACGTGAAGGTAGAGGACTGCACTAGGATACATAGGCGATGCCACATGTAGTTTTGTGAAATACACAAGGTCTCTTGATAAAATACATCCTTCACTTCATTTTTTGGAAAAAGAGTATTGTGGTGGCGTTCCATAAATCAACATATAATGGTGGATCAGAAATAAACATGTCACGATAGAAGAAATTACGATCTATTGTGCTGTTCATGAAATTTGAAACTTTCTAAACTTTAAATTAAAATAAAATACAGTTCATTTACTGTCGTTGCATTCCCTCAACACATGGTACTGGTATTCAAATCTAAATGTCGGAGCAAAAAGTTTAATAAAAATTCCGTTTAATTTAACTTACATTAACTTACGTTTACCTGGTAAATGTAAGTTACTTAGTGCACATTAAATATAGATACAAAGTGCACTTTAAATATATTTAATCAGAAAATGTGTACTCTCTTAAGGCATCACAATAACCAGAAATATAATATCTATGATGATTCTTAGAAATAAATTATCGATTATTATGCGCAAATTAAATATTTAGCAGAGTTTGATTACTAATTGATGGAATTAATCCAAATAGACATATTTTTAGATTTTTGTTTGTTTGTTTTACTAAAATTGTAAAAACACCGCATATACTGTGATGAAAAACGTTTGCCTTTTCAATTAAAATGTTGTATTTTTAAAAAATAATTCAATATTGAAGTATTTAGCCTTGATATTTAAAATAATACGACAGTTGAGGAATCGTAAACCAATATTTTCATTTTATTTTTTATTTCAATTTCTGGTAAAATATATTTAACAAAATAAATGGTACATAACATTATTTCACACAGATGAAACAAAAAAATATTTATACATAATTTCGATCTGTAAATAACATAAAAATTACTGCTAATCTGACTTTATTTATAGAGAAAATTATCCCCATGAGAACTGATATTTCAAATGAGGAAGATGATGAGGATGAAGATGATGAGGAAACTCAGAGAGGTCCTAACAAATTGCCCATTAGACGAGCATTTTGGTTCTTCAAAATACTAGTGAAACTGATACCAAAAATACTGCCAAAAATAATACCAAAAATACTGCCAAAGGTGATACCAAAAATACTGCCAAAGGTGATACCAAAAATACTGCCAAAAGTGATACCACCAATAGTACCAGAAACATCCCGAGAAAATATCCAAGCAATGGATAGGTTCATTTCAGCCATTGGAAATCATGATTAAAACGGTAATAGGCAATACTTGAGTTTCAATTATTAACTTTTAGAAAATTTAAAACATATCCAATTTATGTTAATTTTTTTACTGATCTAACAACTGTAGACATGAGAAAAAATAAGATTTCGCCATTTTCACATAAAAGTATGTTAATAACAGAAAGCTTTATTATAAACTATCGATATGTATTGGTATTTATTCTTTTTTTGAGGGAGGATGCTGCCCTCTTTAAAAAGTGAGTTTCTAAAAATTGAAAAAAAGTGCATCGAAATAATTCTAAAACAAATTTGAAGACTCCAAGTTTTGAAGTTGAAACATCATTATAAGTTGAGCATCTCTTTTTCGAGCAAAATGCATCTAGAGAGGGAAATATGTGAGAGAGATGAGCGTCCGGGAGTTGTTTTAACAGTGCAAGAAATCGCCTTACCATTATTTACATCATTACTTTTTAATCGTAGTCATAGTTGATTCTGATATTGTGGTATTACATAATAGAAATTGTTATAATAGGTACCCAATATACTAATAAAATCACTCTGTTACTATGTTATTTACGCCCCACCCCTAAACGGATAACTAACGAATCATATTTTACGTACTGAGATACAGTCCATAATATGCATAGAAAAATTAATACAAGACATAAAATTTAAGAAATAGTACATATTATTTTTATGCATTAGTGCACATTACGAAATGTATCTTTTCCGTTTTTCACTTAACTTAACCGTTTCGCCTTTAACCTAACCGTGTTTTACTTAACAATATAAATAGAATACTATATTTTATTTATATACATAAAAAATAAAATTATTGCTCATATTTGTAATTACAATATATTTTTATTCTTTTCTTCATTATTTTACAGGTGTCAAGTAATAAAGTCAAAGTTAAAATTTGCTCTTGAAGAATGACCTTTATTATGATAATTTTGTATTTTCATAAGATGTAAAGATAATTTTCTATTTTGTTGAATAAAATAACACGATTTCACTGATTTATTAATTTATTTATTATATTTAGTATATTGTTAATTTTTTGTATATTTAATGGAGTACAATAAAAAACTCGTAAATTCTTATAACACGGAGAATTCTCATTTACATTTAAAAATGATATTTTTCTTATGAGTATAAAAGTGCAATGTCAAAAAGTCAAATTAAAATAGCGACACTTTAAATCTGTCAAAGAATTCTAATTTTGCAAGCATTTGGACAGTCTCTCGATCACACCCTAGCCTGATTGGTTAGTGTGGCGACAATGAACGCACTTATCTTATTGTCCACCAACGATTGTGTGACCTATCATAACCAGAATGATGTTTTGCCGAAAAATCCTGAATTCTAAACGTCTGCAACATCTTTCCTTAACAACAACGTGAATTATAACGAAAACCTGAGCCGCGATGGCTCAAGGGATAGAGCATTCGCCTTCCAATGAGGCTAACTGGGTTCGAATCCCAGTCGATGCGAATTCCGCATCCGGCTTGCACCGATCACAGTGCTGACGTGAAATATCCTCAGTGGTAAACGAAGGGGTATAGACTCATCTTGCCATCGGGCTAACCGTTAAAGGTTCTCGTGGTCTTCCTCACCATGTAACGCAAATGGGGGTTAGGTCCATCAAAAAGTCCTCCACGAAGGCAAATTTCTCCTAACACTCGATCCGGGAGCTCCCTTGTTTTCTGGATTGGATTCAAAATTACAAGGCTACGAAGTTGAACATTAGTAGTCATAAACCCATAAAACTGTGTCGGCTGTTCAACGACGGTGATAAAATTATAAAATATAACGATAACTTCTAAATGTCCACTGAATCTCTGAATATACTGAAATATATACTTTTCTTGATATTAGTTTACTGCTTGGAAGTGATAGGCTTTAATTCTTTTCCTGTTCATAGATTATAGATTAAAATTCTAACATTCTTCAACTAAAGTGCATGAAACCATAAAAATAACAACTTTATTATAACTGACTGATTCAATAACTGACTGAAATTTCACTTTCAAATCACGCTACTTAAATTGAACTGTCTGGGAGAAGCCAATGTTTTCATCAGTCTGGGAGAATCAATATTTTTTATATTTACCATACTGAACAAAGGTAATTTTTTGCCTGCTGCTATGGATATACAAAAAGCATTATAATGATATATTATTCTTTAAATGTAGCTGTAACTCAAATTTTTCTTTTAAATCAATATATAAATTAGGGTTTATGCAAACCACTAAATCCATAAACTTAACTAAAGCCATTGAAGGAAATAAAAAACAGCAAAATTTAGTTATATGGTTAGATTTTATTATTAAAAATTATTATAATTTTTTTTACAATATTATTCTAAAAACAATTGAAATTGAGTATTTTGAATATAGATTGTACTGTAACAGCTGTAAAGTCCTGTTATATTAGTACAGTATTAATTTAATAATTCTCGAAAATATGTTCCGTTTCTGAAAAGATATTTCGAAGCACACTGTAAAAAATATCGGATTAAATTACTGTAAAAAAATATCAGCACTTTGGGTGCATTATCCGTAAAATCTATTTTACCTAAAAATACATTTTTAAAGTAAAATATCATAGTGTAATTTTTACTGAAATGTTTATAATTGGAGTTATTCTGTGATTTTAAGTTAATCATTACTGTAAAAATTATTGGTATATCAGATTTTTGTTTCCGTAACATATTTCAGTTAAAATGGATTTTACGGTAAAAACTTGACACTTTTGTGTACATCAGTATAAAAATTCTTAAACAACTTTTAATATCCTCTATTTAAATTATTTGCAATTCAAAATCCTTACATCTTGCTCCAGTATGAAATATTTCTGTGCTGGGGTAAGAAAAAGTCCGCACGAGATTTTATGAAAACTACGGTGAAAGATTATTTTTCACAACCTTCAAAAGTAAATAATTTGCTAAGAAAACTAGAGTGTTGGAATCATTAAATCTTGAAATCACGAAGCCCTTAAAAATTGTTTCTGAAAATGTTACAGCCAGACAAGTAGGGACAATCATTACGGTAGGTGGAAGTGTATTTTCAAGAGTCATTATCTCTGTCCTGAAAATTTATGCAAAAGGAGAAAGTAGACGTAAACATGCGCAACTTTGCATGTATAAATCTACTAATACTGATAACTTTGACAGAAGAAAACTGAAAGCTGAAACTAGGCTTTACCGTAGTGCAGTAAGAGTAATAGACTTGGTGAAGTAATTTTTCTATTGCAAATTTCTTGGTAGCAAAGCAAATCTTTTGTAAAAATGATAAAGTAGAAAGATTTTTTTCACTTAATCTACCGCTAGTACATACGGAAATAAGATATATAATAATCAAATTGTATTGATTAGTTAGTGGTAATTTAAATTATAAACAATTATATTTTAATGGTCATAAAAATAACATTAGATACCTATAAAAGTATGTTAGGTTCTTGTTACCACATTATTTATTGCCAACTGCCAGTTTAGTGATATACCAACAATACTCAGTACCAAAATAGCAGCTGACGTGAGTTAGTACTTATTTAGAAGGAGCTCTAAAAACTAAATCGTACCTCATTTCAATTTTCAGTGCTCTTCTAGAGTTAAAAAATGGCCATTTTTAAAAAAAAAATGAAATTGGAACTTATACATATTAAAAGTTGAAACGTGCATGCCAATTAAAAACAAATTATTTATTACAAATTATTTTAAACTACTTACTCTATGACTGATTTGTCTCATCGGTCTTTTTCATATCAGTAAAAGCACCAGAAGAGCAACACATGTGAAATAATATCTGCAGTCAATCAGAAAAGCAATCTATAAACTTTAAAGCAATTTCGATTTAGCTATTGAAGCATGTATTTAGTTGCATCCCATTAAAATATTAAGAGAACTGAAACTTTTACATAATAAAATACTAGAAGCTGAAACGTGCATGCCAATTAAAAATAAATTACTTATTATAAATTATTTTAAACTACTTACTCTATGACTGTTTCGTCTCATCGGTCTTTTTTATATCAGTAAAAGCACCAGAAGAGCAACACATGTGAAATAATATCTGCAGTCAATCAGAAAAGCAATCTATAAACTTTAAAGCAATTTCGATTTAGCTATTGAAGCATGTATTTAGTTGCATCCCATTAAAATATTAAGAGAACTGAAACTTTTACATAATAAAATACTAGAAGCTGAAACGTGCATGCCAATTAAAAATAAATTACTTATTACAAATTATTTTAAACTACTTACTCTATGACTGTTTCGTCTCATCGGTCTTTTTTATATCAGTAAAAGCACCAGAAGAGCAACACATGTGAAATAATATCTGCAGTCAATCAGAAAAGCAATCTATAAACTTTAAAGCAATTTCGATTTAGCTATTGAAGCATGTATTTAGTTGCATCCCATTAAAATATTAAGAGAACTGAAACTTTTACATAATAAAATACTAGAAGCTGAAACGTGCATGCCAATTAAAAATAAATTACTTATTACAAATTATTTNAATGTATTAAATAAATGCATAAAACTCGAAAATGAATGAAAATAACTTGCTAATTAATATTTTTATTCATTTTGCAAAATAATTGCATTTCGAAAGTGGTGTCACTGAGTCTGCTGCGAGAATTTCTCAGAACGTGCTTAGCCACGCTGAATAAGCGCTCCACGGGAGCACTAGAAGGTACTGCAGTATTATATTTCACATATAACTTTTTTACGATTGGATATCGATTCAAAATTGATATGCTTTCCGTTTCGATATTTGAGCTCATGTATGCCATAAATTTTTCTGTCGCTGGTGATTGGCATGATGTTTTCAGCTTTAGAAAGTTTAAAATCTGATTTTAAACCCTGTTTTTTTTCTGTTACGTTATTAGTTATAGCAGGGTGTTCAGTTTGGACAATTCTTTCCAATTTTTTTGTAGCCTCCTCCCTAGCTTTTTCTTCCAAATAATTAAATTTGATGCAAGGTACCAATAAAATCGTATGCATTCATTATACTTGGTTTACAGAATTTCAAAGCGCACTTTTTATCTGAAACTTTTTCTTGAGATGAAAACCACCGGTATTCAAAACCTTTGCTATTCATTTCATTCTTTATCACAGGCAATTTTCAGAAGATGAATAATGACTGTTCTGGACACACAATTCTGGAGAACACTTCACTCACAATGATAGTTGCAGTCAAAAAAGGATAAAAAAAGCCGCCTTTTCCCTTTCAGGAATGACAATTTTAAAAGGTCAAGGTATTTAAACACGAAGTTAGCTGTGAATGCATATATATTGCACATTAATTTTATAAATTAAAAAACGTAAGCATTCTTTTTAATTTAATTTTTTTTTTAGAAAGCTTACCGAGTTTTAGAAAAAAGTAACGATTTCATTCGACATTTCCGTTACAAATACTTATACTTTTTCCCTAAAAAAGTAAGGAAAGCACAAGTAAAAATAGTAAATTTGAAAAGTAACGAAGTACAAGTAAAAGTACGTACTTTTTACTTGTACCGGCGGTACAAGTAACGAAAGTAAAAGTACTGCCATATATGGTTGGTACTTATTTAAAAGGACCTCTAATGAATAAATCGTACCTCATTTTGATTTTCTGTGTTTCTGTAGGGTAAAAAAAATTGCCATTTTTAAAAAAAAATTAAAAAATTAAATTAGAATTTATACATATTAAAATACTCAAAGTTAAAACGTGCATGCCAATTAAAAATAAACCAATTATTACAAACTATTTTGAACGACATGTTCTATGACTGGTTCGGCATATCGGTCTTTTTCATATCAGTAAAAGCACCAGAAGAGCAACACATATGAAATAATATCTGCAGTCAATCAGAAAAGCAATCTATAAACTTTAAAGCAATTTCGATTTAGTTATTGAAGCATGAATTTAGTTGCATCCCATTAAAATATTAAGAGAAC